TTCTTCCCTACTTTGACCTGATGTTGTATGTAATTGGAGTCTTTGAGGTCCTTTTGAAAAATCTAGACTTTTTTCTGCCCCCTCTTATGATTCCTAAAGTAATCATAAAAATTGCTAAAATCCTGATGTTGTATCCAGAGGATGAGCACTATTTGCTCTGTTGTCCAAGCAGCCCAAAGGGATCATAACTCAGCCCCAGTCATAGATTAGAGAGACAGAGTTTAACAAAAGAAAGAAACATTACTTGTAAAGAGGAAAAGGAAGGAGAAAGGAGAATATAGACAGCTACCATGATAAGAATCAGGGCAGGGGACTCTGGAAAGATGGAAGACTCATGGGACCTTTCTTTACAGCTGCTTTTATGGGGGGCAGGTGATTCTTTTTCCTCTACCCAGAACTTGCCATAACTGGATTGACTTCCAGGCACCCCTGCCTAGTTCATTTCTTCTCCAGTGGTCTGTGGGCAGCTTTTTTTGGTCTGTTTATTTGTCCTTGGCCTATCTTTTAAGGCTCTGTCTTTGGGGTGGGCAGCTAGTTGGCAAGAAGATGCCTTATTGTCTGTTAGTTTAAGAGTTAGTAAGGGGGCTGTGGATATCGATTGTACTCTATAATGACCCTACAGTGAATAATACAGTAACTTTAGAGGGAATACACGTGTATGTATATGTATGTACATGTTAGTACACAGGTGTGAGTATACACTGCATTAGTCACTCCCCTCCCCTTTTGCTTCCCCTATATTTTATTGGAGGTGGGGGCAGCTTATCATTTGCTGACTTGGCTTTTTTGGTTTTTTGTTTTTCTGGTACCGGGGAATCGAACACGGGTCCTTGCAGACTTGGTTTTTTTTTTCTGTGTCCTGTCAGCTCTTTTTTCTGGTCTTTTGATGCAAGTCCCAAGGTTATTTGGTGACTTTATCTAGTTTTTTTTTTTCTCTCTCTCTCTCTTTCTACCCATCTTTGACTTGCTTTCCAGGGGAAACTCTCTCGTAAAGTTTAACTCCTTCTAGTCAGGATTCGCTAGAAAACCTAAGGGTGCCCCTATTTTATTTTCTCATCTTCGGACCGTGTCCTTACACTGAGGAAGTCTGCTTTTTGGAGAGTATATATTTCACTAAGAGCCTCCACGACCATACATATGGATTAGGGCTTGCACTGTTACAATTGTGTGACTAAATTACTCATCAAAGTGGATACATGTCTGGATGAGATTATAAACTAATATGAATGTAGTAAAAACATTGCCCATCTCTATTTTTTGACTTTTTATTCTTTCATTTTCATCCCCTTCAGAATGAGTAGTATTTATAATTCAGTCTCTAAGTCTCTACTACTTTCCAGAGAGAGAATTCTAACTACAGAGAAACTCAAAAGCAATTGTTTGACACAGGCCCTAGTGGAAAGGAATTCAATGCCTCCTGATGTCTGAAGTTCTGCCTAAATCTGTTCAGTCCCTGTTTCCTCACATTTATATATCCAAGGCTACCATAAAGTAGAAGGAGAAAGATATGTGGGAGAAAAGAGTGGGTGGAGAAGACTTCCAAGAATTGGCAACTATGCAAAAAGCAGCAGCCAGCAGTTAATTAGTTTCAGCTCTGAAATGACCCCTTTGTACAGATCGACCTTCCTGAGAGAGAGGTTAAAATGCTGTCATGCCTTCTTTCAGCACAGTGGTGATTCACACAATTAATTCGAGGTCCTAAATAATGTGGTCCAACTTATTTGGCTGAAGAGAGAATGGTCCTCCTTCATTTGCTTTTTCTTCCCTCCTACTCACTGAACATCACATCCAAAAAACGAGCAAATTCCTAAATTATATTTCCACATATAGGATCTATTTAGAGGAAGGAATGGGTAAGCGATAGTCTAGAATTTAAAGTCATAGTTTCCTGAAACTGAAAACCAAGCTTATTTAGAAATGTTACCAGTATAGCTCAAATATAGTTAGTTGATATAAATGCCTCTCATATGTGCATTTATCGTGTGGTAGGTCATGATTTAAGGACTGTTCATGGCTTTATCTCATTTAATCCCCACTCATTTTATCTCATTGAGTCTGAGTTGGGCAGTATTATCATTACTATGATCCTGTCAAATATTTCATATGAAGAAGCTGGGGCTAGGAGAAGTGAAGAAACTAAGCCAGGAGTGGAGTCAGGATTTAAATGTGGGTACTCTTTCCCACACCCCATTGCTCAACCACAGTGCTATCCGCCTTCAGGCTTTCAATTTGCCTAGTCTAGTGGATCCCATAGGCCAACTAAGAGAAGACAAATCTATGCCAGATGACTCAGTTGAGTTAGGGAAAATTTCACAATAGGCATGTTTGAACTTGGCTGAAAAGTGGACAGTGATTGATTTGGTGAAGGGGGTCATGGAAGGCCTTCCAGGTGAGGAGAACCTCATGAACATTGCAGGTACTAATGACACCTGTCTATGACAGAGAGCTCCTACAGTCATTTAGAGACCTTTACCTCCTAGGTCTTGAACTTCCATGAAAGAGGAAACCTACTCTAGTTGTTGAGAGTGGCACACAGAGGTAAATGTAGAGAACTCTGATAGCCTGATGTTTATTGGGACACACTGGCCAGGACACAGGGTCACTGCAATGATAAGGCATTTGGGTCTTCGATGTCTTGCCCATTTCTTTCGGGCCACCAGCTTTTCCCTAGGACCCCATGGGGTTAGCAGAAAAAGCTGAACTCCTTCAGACCAGCCCAGCCTGGTCTGTGCTCTCTGTCCTGGCTTCCTTTCCTGGAATAAGGAGGTTTAATTTAACTCAAGGTGCAGCAGTCCAAAGACATTCTCCAATTTAGCCTTATCATCAGCAAAGCAATCTTGCCTTCCTGTCTGCTCTAACTGATTACAATTGAATGAAAGGAAGGATAAATAATTAGTACCTCTAACATCTGTAAAACCCTTAAAAGCAATTAGAAAATTCAATTTAAAAGACAAATTAAGAGATGGTAAACCAGGGAGGGCTTGCAAGGCTAATCTAAGGAATTTTTTCAGAGCCTACAAGAATTGTTATAATCCTCTGTGCAAGTACACATAGTTGTTTTCACCAAGGAAATCACCATGGGACTTTGCTTCCAACTTACTCTCTAGACATTTAATATTACAAAATCCTCATTTTCCTGCAAATGTATTTGGCAAGAACTTTTAAGTCATTTCTAATAGTCAAACTAGTATTTTGTCAGGTCCTTGATACATTTATTCTCTGCTCAGAAAATCACTGCTTTTTTCCAGCATTTGATGACCAAAGAACATTTTAGCCTACTGGGGACAGTTTTTGTTGTTGTTTTGTTTTTGTTTTTGTTTTTTTTACAAAACCAGGGATTGAACTCAGGACCTTGCGTTTGCCAGGCAGGCACAGCACCACTGAGCTACATCCTCAGCCCATGGGAGGTTTTAATGGTTTGACAAATATTACCATTATTTGGAAACAATTTTCTAATCCTTTTTCCTAATCTACCTCAAGATACAGTCTTTCAGTTGCTCTTACATTAATTAAATGATTTTTTTCCCTCAGATTTGTGTTTATACTTGAGTGTTATGTTTTTTAAGTACAGAGTATGAGTTTTCAATCCAAATCTGAAGACAACTGTGAACTGCCTCTATAAATCTTGTACTGCCAACTATCAGTAAAGGGGCAAAATCTCCTTTCTCTAGAAAGAAATTTCTAGTGTATTATTTTTTGTTATCAAAAGACTGTGTGAAAACAGGAAGATAAGTTTTTTTCCTTAACTAAGCAAAACAGTTGTCTCAATCTCTGAAAAATAGTTTTCCTTTGCCTACCTTTCCAGTATAAAATAAGTGGCAGTATGTGTTTGGTCTTCCTACTTCTGGAGGGAAAAGAACTGTAGAAAAATAATTTTTTCTATGTCTGTGGTTTGAGAAAAACTTAAAACTCCAGCTTTCCAGAGTTCAAGGAAAACATAGACACTTATAATGTTGCTCTTGGTGGGAACACATGTTATATAAAATTTTACGTTTTCCTGCTTCTCACTTGGCTCCTTGAATTTAAACTCCCTCTGACCTACCTCTATTCTAATAACTTTTTCTCTTAGTGCTTCCTTAAAGTTATACTCCCTTTTCCTCCAAAATAAACTGCAAAATTATTTTAATCTGCATTTTCTAAGTTTATTTACCATCTATCTCTAAATAGACTTTTCCAGTAAGAGTTTAAAGTAGCTTAAAAGAATCTATAACATAGATCAAGAATTTAGTAACAGACGAATCAGGAATAAAGCTTATACAAAAACGCTTATGCAGTCCTACTCTAGAATAACAACAAATTTAAACGTCAACTTTCTAGCAGGCGATCAGAAAAGGAAACTTAATGAGTTACATCATTTAGTGTTCGTGAGACAAAAACAAGCTAATTACTCGAGTGAAGGAAGCACTGTTATTTCTAATAGTAAGACCAGAACGAAATTTCTCCTGAGAGGCTTCAGGAAGAGGTCAGTGAATGATGTTATCTCCGAGAGTTCTTAGTAGCAAGCTAAGAGGAGATGCAAAGATGAATTTCACGGGGCTTCTTCTTCTCACGGTGTTCTCCGAATAGGCAGATGGGTTCAAATCAATATGAAAACCACGTAAAACAATTTAACTATGACTGTGAAGGCTGGGAGTACAATATGACATAGTCCAGTTCATTGGCTCTCTGAGCTGCTAGGAAAAATCAAGGACACATTTTAGTTTAAACTAGTACCCTGAATGACTTCACAGAAATTACAAAACCATGAAAATTATAGGCAGTATTTATGAATTAAGTATATTCCCCTTGCCTAATAAACAAAATATAGCTTACCAGATCTTCAAAGCACTCAGGTGACTCAGAAAAGTTGAGAACAGTTTAATTAGAAAGTCTGAAGATTTAAACTTAAGGCCGCAAATTCTTCATGCTATTCGGAGTAGGGTTTCCTTTTTCTCCACTGAGTATATTTATTTATTTCTACGAAAAAAGAACTATTTTGTTTCCATTTAGAACAGCTTGGGTAGGTGCTTCTGGGTGGTGAGAAGCCGCGAAGGAGAGGCTCAAGTAGAAATGCCGATGTCGGGAAAACACAAAAAAGCTCTTCTACCGAGGCTGGGCTCTGGAAGCTTCTATTTGCTCTTGAGGGTGAGTTTACTGAGAGACTCACTCAGGACAGCCTCGGGGCTGGTCAGGCAGCGGAAATTGGTCAGGTGATATTCCATCTTCTGGATGATCTTCACCTCCTCCTCTAAGAAGTGGTTCACCAGAAAATCGCAGAGATGGCAATCTGTGTTGGCCCAACCCAGGGCGTGCAGTTCCAAAAGGGTCTGGTTCAGGTTCTTCTCCAGGACTAGGGCAGTTTCCATGGCTTGCTGACTGTTACACCACTCAGCTTGGGGCACTCTCTGCCCAGCCTGGCAGAGGGATCGCATTCCACTCTGGCTTCGCAACAGGAGACGATGGGCACTGTCGTACTTCTTCTCAGCCAACTCGTGGAAGAAGTGGTCCACATCCTCCTGGGCCCCACGGTTACCTACAAAGTAGAAGCCCAGAGAGATGTAGGTCTGGGAGACATGCAGATGCATGTTGATAAGTAAATACAAGGCACTCTCCACCTGAGTGGAGAAATTCTGCATGCTGTGGGTGTTCATGGCTGGTGCAAAAAATGGCTGGCGCTACCGCAACCCCACCAGTTCATTAGACTCGGAAGCAGAAAGCAGTTGACCCTATAGTTCCGGAAGTTGTAAGTGGGTAGGTGGGGTTAGAGGATGGTGCGAGGGAAGAGGGTGGGACAGGGAGTTTCTGATAGGTCAGTGAAATTGCAGGACTCGGACATACAGTCTCAAGACCTAGTTTTTTATTAAGAGGTTAATTCTTCTTTCAAAATTATTGGAAAAGAGTCTTTGACATTTGGCTCATTTTTAAAACCATACTTCCGAGGGAGGTAAGACTGTTAAAGGGATTAAGGGTGACATCCTTCTAAATCTTTGACTTCAAACTCCTTTGCTTGAGTTTATTGGTACATTCTAGGTATACAGTACAGTTACATTCATTACTGGGATCTTGTACCTCTACATCACAGGTCTTGGTTCTCATGTTTTCCCCTTGTCCATGCCCTCCATTCACCCCCTCCTCCCCTCCCCATTTCCTTTGCTTCTTAATGTAGAGCCCATTCTACAGGTATTTTCCCCTGTTCTTAGTCCCTTTTTTTGTTTTGTTTTAGACAGGGTCTCACTGTGTAGTTGAGACTGCCCTGGAACTCACTATGTAGGCTGGTATCATCTCACGTTCCCTACACCTTTAGCTCCTTTCTTCCCATTTCTAAATGTCAGTAATCTTATTAGGATCTTATGTATTATTGCAGATTATTCACACCAGAGAAACTATTCGGTATTTACACATGTGTGACTTATTTATTTCACTTAGTAGTATATCTTCAATATGTATCCATTTTCCTATGAATGAATATTTTCTCATTCTTTATGGCTGAGTAGTATTCCATTTTATAGAAAAACCACATCTTCTTTATCCAGTTTCCAACGGATGGGCAAATGGGCTGTTTCCAAGATTTAGCTATTACAAACTGTGCCGCTATAAACATGGGTGCACATACTTCTCTGTGATATGATTCTTTTAGTTTTGGAAAGATACCCAGCAGAGGGATGGCTGGGTCAAATGGAACCTCCAGTCCAAGCTCTTCGAGGTATCTCCATATTGATTTCCATAGTGGTTGCACCAGTCTGCACTCCCACCAACA